TAAAAATAACAGTGCCAACTCCTAAGGAGAAAACTAGAAACTCACTGAGACAGGCACTAAGTTTTCAAATAATAAATCTAAAAGTGAATGTAGTAACAGCAAAACTGCCAGATCATTTCCAAATTTTCTTCTGAAGAAGAATCCTCAGCAAAATTTTAAAGAACAATTATAAGAAGCCAGACATGGTGGTACAAGCCTATAATCCCAGGACTCCAGGAGGCTGAGGTAGGAGGATCACAAGTTCAAGGTGGGGAGGTTAGCAACCCAGTGAGCCCCTAGCTCAACAAAACAAAACAAAAACAAAAGTGGCTGGGGATGTAGCTCAAAACAAAGGCCTTAGACTCACTCTCTAATACCATGATAGATGGATGGATAGATAGATAGGTTAGATAAACAGATAGATGTAAGATCTCAAATAGATGAGAATTAGATATAAGTTTATAGCATAGCAAGCCTATAATCATATCTTAGGGTGAACTTTCATATATTACTTTAAATATTAATGTTGATTGCTCCCAGTAATAATTATTAATTTATAACTTTATCCTCATGCTAGTCCTAATATATTTTCTTCCCATTAACAGGATTTATAAAAAGTTTCATAGGTCACTGAAGGGAAGTCTAAAGAGTCTACATAAAGTAAGAGCATCTCTGGGTTTATTTGTGTATTTTTTAACAGAGTGAATTCTATGAAATAGGAACAGAACTCTACCCCTCCGGCAATAAGAGAGAAGAGGAGGGAGTGTTACTTTCTCCTCAGGGCAACTGCAGGAGGCTGAGGCGGTACACACTTTTTTCAGAGAGGAGGAACAATGGAAAACACTCATCCCATTTTCTGGTGAAGGTAAAAAGTGGACTTCAATGTGCTTTTCTAAGCAATCATTTAGGATTTGCTCTCAGGCTGGCAAACTGCCCATCTCCTCTTGGATCCGTCTTGCATAGTTTATTTTCATGGTGTCATAAGTCAGCATCTTGCTTTGCAACTCACCCCTGTGAGATCATGAAAAACACCTACTCGCTGAGCCTCTGTTCCTTCGCCTACAAAATGGGGATAGTATCGATCTTACAGAGGTGTTGCCAAGATCGAATTAAGGTTAAAAACTAGAACGGTCAGGGTTTGCTTTCTAGCGGAGAAAGCAACTCTATACCAGATACTCAGAGTGTGTCCTCTCTTCAGAGGAGGAAACAAGGGAGACCAGTGTAGCCAGGACAAAGTCACCCTGCAGCAGCACCCCTCTGCTGACAAGGGCCAGGTATGATCGTGCTGTTCTTGCACGTGAGAAGACCTGGATACAACTCTCAGCATCTACATATAAATCAACCTCCAAACGTACTTGAGAAGAAAACACTAATCTCACAGATGGCACATCATGTAAAAGGTTAAGCTATAATTGATTTTTCCTAAAATCCTTGAAGCAAAAAAGAGATAAGAAAAATAAGCTGGAAAATGAGTTAAAGAGTCCATCCCTGCGTTTATAAAACCATTATATCACCGAGAGTGCATTTTAACATACTTATCTATTCAGAACAATTTCTGCTGTAACATCATTTCTCCTCTAATTCCGTACTTTGAGTCTTAGATTTTTTAAAGGTCTCTTTCAATGTGCTCAAGCCCTGTCTTTCCAACTCTTTAATTATTCTGTGAGGCTAGATGCATGTTACTCTTCCTCTTTTTATTTTTGAGGAATCTCCACACTGATTTCCATAGTAGTTATACCAGTCTACACTCCCGCCAGCAGAGGAGAAGGATTCCTTTTTCCCCACAGCCCTTCCAGCATTTGTTATTGGTTGAATTCTTGATGATAGCCATTCTTCCTGGGGTTAGATGGAATCTCAATGTTGTTTTAATTTGCATTTCATGAATTACCAATGACATTGAACATTTTTTCATATATTTATTTGCCATTTGTATTTCTTCATCTGAGAAGTGTGTATTCATCTCAGATGCCCATTTTTGGATTGGGTCTTTGAATTGGGGGGGCCTGATTTTTCTTTAATGCTTTATATGTTCTAGATAGAAGTCCTTTGTTTGAGGGACAGTTCACTAAAATTTTTTTCCAATTCATGGGTTTTCTTTTTATTCTATTGGTGATTTCTTTTGATGTGCAAAAACTTTTCAGTAAGATGAGATCCCAGCTGTTGACTGTTTAAAGTGTTTCCTGTGCATTTTAGGTTTTGTTCATGAACTCCGCCTACGCCTATGTCTTCAAGATTTCTACCTATTTTCTCTTCCAGTAGATTTAGTGTTTCTGTTTTAATATTTAGATCTTTGATCCATTTTGACTTTAGTGCATGGTGAGAGACATGGGTCTAGTTTTAGTCTTTGGCATATGGAAAGCCAGTTTTTTACTCTTCCTCTTGATGCCAACTGACTTTCCCTCTAAAAATGTCGTGAACAATCATGGGTTAATGCTATTTTACATATAGATTAGTTTTAAAGTATTAAATGAATCCTTGATGTCCTTTTTAAAAAAGCCACTATACGTGCACCATACCAGATGGAAGATCATCCAAGGGAAATTCAAACACTCTGGATTTGTAAACTAAATGGAAATGGAAATCCTCCTGAAATGACAGAAGCAACAGAGAATTAAACAAGCATAGCCAGATATCTCGGGGACCCTTAGAACAGCCAGTACTTTCCCATACATCCTCCTGGGTTTTGGGGACACCCTCCCCCAGGTCTGCTTTGTCCCAGCACCAGAGCAATACCCAATTAGAAGCAAAAGGTCTCCCAGAGAAGCCAAAGCCTACAGTAATGGGAAATAAATAAATGGTTCTATTCCCCCAAGAAAAGCAAGACATCTGGCAAAGTGGGTTAATGTTTTTTATGACTGGTTCCTTTCACGGATCCCTGCACCCTTTTAAAAGCCAGATAACTTTAGTGAGCAAAGACTGCAGAAGAAGCAACCTTCCTGGGAATGGGAGCAGGGGGACTGGGGCAAGCGGATGCCCAGATTTAAGTCACACAGAGTTCTACTAGAAAGGGTGAGATAAAAGTCACATTTTTCTTCTATGAAAAATTAATGAGCATTCAAATAATTTTATCTGGCTTCATTTAATTACTAAAAAGATAGCATGTCATAAATAGTCAAGTTTCATGCTATGACCTTTAAAAAAATCACACTGTTAAGCAAAGTGGCAGGAAAACCAGTGGAAGGTACTCAGAAAATAACACGTAACTCAGATAGCTTCCTAAACATCATTCTTTTGCGAGTGACAAACAATGTACATTCCTTGAAATTATTTTCCCCTGTAAGTGTCTGACCAATGTTGCATGAATAAAGAGGGGCATTTGCGTATACACAGCTAGCATGGAAGTGCGCTCTATTTCCCTATAGTTTATAATATCAATTCAATCTTTTTCTGATTTGTAGCAAATAAATATTTCAGCAAGAGTTAGGGAGGGAATGCAGACATCCTAGGCTTCTCTACACTTCACTGGCACAGAGCCTTGAAGGCAACAGGCAATGGAGAGAAATGTGGACTGTGGAAAAGAGAGGAGGAAGGAACAACCATGCTGGCTGTGGGTTTTATCTGTTCTGGACCAAATGTTTTGTGTGGCAGCCAAAATTCCTAAGATGCAGTCTACAGATGCAGTGGGAGCTGGGGCCTGTATGAGATGAAGAAGGTTACAGGAAGTCGCAGGTGTGGGGCCAACCCCACAGAGGGGGTGCCTTGGACGGGAGCAGACAAGCAGGGGTGCCTCTCTCTCTACCGTGCGAGGACACAGTGCAAAGGCACTGGCCTTCTGTCACCCGGAGAGAGCCCTCACCACACAGCAGTCCTGCTGGCCTCGTCAGCATGGACTTCACAGCCTTCAGAATTAAGAAAAGAAAATCTTCTGTTGTTTAAGTGGCCCAGTCATGGTATTTTTCATGGTAAACCAAGCGGACTAATATCAGAGTATGTTACATGGGAGACAAAAATAAATAGAGGCTTCAGAACACCCCAGAGGGAAAATACTCCCAATATAAAAGACGAAGAGACAAAAAAGAAGTTTATTGTTCTGACTTGTTCAATATTTAATGTATGTATTTACTACCCTATCCCTAAATGCAAAAAGAGTTGACGGGGAGAGGGGAGAGGAAAAAAGCTCTAAGGCATCAACACTGGCATTTTCTCTGCAAGCACAGCACTTACTGGGGAGGTCTCGTTTTCTTCGGGCTCGATGAGATATGTATGGTTCCCATCATAGAACATCCCACTGCCAAGGACAGAAAAACAGTTAGGCACAGCCATCAGCTCGTATCGCAGAATAAGATCATTTTACCATGCAAGCAGCCATAATACCAGTCCCACCCCTCACCACCACACAAACCACACACCACATGCCACACGTGTGTGCGCATGTGTGCACACACACACATACTGCTGAGAGGGAAAGGCCTCTGAACCTGAATTTCCTCACCTGTGGTCCTCTCACGCTGACCCTACTCCTTGCCATTCTCCCATACCCATTGCTGTCCATTACTCCTCCTCTAACAGGCAATTCTAATCTTTTAATATGCAAAAGGACACCTGGAGCTTCAGGCCCTGCCTCAGATTTTATTTATTTATTTATTTTTATTTATTTATTTATTTTGTCTTTTTGAGACAGGGTCTCACTACGCAGTTCAGGCTGGCCTTGAGCTTACTTTGTAGCCCTGGTTGGTCTTGAACTTGCAACGATCCTCCTGCCTCAGCCTCCTGAGTGCTGGGATTATAGGCGTGCGCCACCACGCCCAGCCTGCCTTAGATTTTAAACTCTTTAAACAAACCATGGGTGCTTCTGCTACAAGTTTCAGGAACTATCCTAAGAATGGCCTCCCCACGTAAACCTGGAACATGCTCTAACAGTAAGAGCAAACCAATGGCAATAATTTGCCATGAGCCGAGTATTGTGCACTTATTTATTCTTTTATATATGTATGAGGGAAGTACAATGAATCCTCATTTTCCAGCTGAGAAACTTGAGGCCCAAAGAGGACCAAAGAGATTACATCACCAATAAGAGCAGAGGCATGAACACAGCTCTAAGATGGAACCATGATCTGTCCCTGTGCAATCTGCTACCTACGTTCATTCATTCATTCATCATATATTGACAGCTCTACAAAGCTTTAGGTGCTGGCGATACAGTAGTGAACAAGACCAATCAATTCTGTTCTCATGCTGCTGATATGTATTCCATGGAGAAGAGAAAATAAATCCACAACAAGGAAATATGTATTAGATGATGACAAATTTCAGAGGAAAATAAAGCAGGTTAAGGGCAACAAACAGAGCCAGAAGTCTAGATGCAGACAGCTGGGTAGAGAATCCCTGATTCAAAGAAAGGCTTCACAGATAAGACAGCATTGAAGCACGGACTGAAAGAAGCAAAGGGATGAGTCACAAGCATATCTATACAAAGAGCACTGCAGATACAAGCCCAAGGGGAGGGACTCTTGAGTTGTTCCAGGAACAGCAAGAAGATTGTGAGGCTGGAGTGCAGTGGAGAATGTGCTGGCAATTGAGATCAGGGACAGCAGGGCCATATGAGCAAGCTGGCTGGGACAGATGAGGAGCAGCCACTGTAGATTTCAAGTCAGGAGAAACAGAATGCTCTGTTTTGAAATGATAATCCCGGCTGCTGGTTGCAATAATCTGTAGGACAGCAGGCACACAAGCAGAGATGATTGCAATACCCATGTGAAAGAAGTGGTGGCTTAGATCAGGGTGCTAATGGAAGAAGAGGTGAGAATGGGCCAAATTCTGGATATTTGTTTATTATTTTCATTTTAGGTGTCTTATAGCTTGAATCTACATGTCCCCACAAAGCCTCATGCAATCATAGGTGAGGCTTTTCAGAGGTGACTGGATCTAGGGTGTGAGATACGGGATTAAGTATGAGATGCTGGGATTAGGGTGCCCCACCTTTGTCATGGGTGGCACTAACCAATATGCTTATAGCCTGGGTAGATACAAAGGTTGCTTCTGCTGTTTCACTGCTGCTGCTTCTGCTGCTGCCTTTGCTTGCTGCTTCTTGCCTTCTGTCTGCCCTGCTTTGCCATGGACTGTTTTTCCTCTGCTATGCCCCTTCTGCCATGTCACCCTGCCTTGGAGCCAGCCAGTTATGGACTGAAACCTCCACAAACTGTGAGCTAAATAAACCTTTCCTCTTTTAACTTTAAGTGTAAAGTATTCTGTCTTAACAACAAGAAAAAAATAACTAAGACAACAGTGCTAGAGATTGAAACTTAGACCTGGTACATCCACTGAATGATAGCGCCAGTCTGGATATAGTTGGAAAGTAAAAACCAAACAGGATTTAGAGACTGATTTGATAAGAAGTGTGCAAGAAAGAGTCAGTGAGGACTCCAAGGCTCTGACCTGAGCAACTGGAAAGCTGGAGTTATATTTGACACAATAAGCCAGGCATGGTGGTGCACACCTGTGATCTCAGCACTCATGAAGCTGAGGTATACTGAGTTCAAGACCAGCATGAATCACATAGTGGGACCTATCTCAACAAACAAACATCTGACCACATGAAAAAAGCTGCAGGAGAAGCACAATAGGACAGGCCCAAGGAAACAGGGCATGAATCAGGAGATTAGTTTTCTTCTCAGGCTAGACGTGGCTGTCTGCTATCTGAGAAATCCTCCAGAGAGCATTTGAAGCTACACCTGGCCTTAACTTCCACCCAGTGAGATCCAGATAGCTGCTCTTTGTAGAAGAACAGTACAATCCTTCTACTGAGATCAGGCACCTTATGATGTGAAGAAAGTTGTCTTATCATCCAGGTATCTACTGGGAGCAACTCTATGGATCTGCAGTAATCATGACAGTCAAACCATCAGATATAGAATAGTATTTGTCATTCTGATATGGTTTGTGTCTGAATGTCCTCCCAAAGCCTCATGCAGTCATGGAGCAGGCTTCTAGAATTTGACTGACTTATGGTCCAATGTTGGGATTATGGGTGTGAGTGCTACACCTGCCCTGGGGTGGGTAGTTTGCATACAGTAAGGGAGGGAAAGAGGCTGCATGCTGCTGCTCCTTTTTTTGCTCTTGTTGCTTTTGATGTTTTCCACTGTGATGTGTCGTTCTGCTTTGGAGCCAGCCAGTTACAGACTGAAACCTCCACAGACCGTAAGCTAATTACACACTGAAACCTCCACAAACTCTAACCTAAATAAACCTTTGCTTTCTTAATTTTGAGCATTGGGTATTTTGTCTCAGCAACAAGAGAAAAGTAACCAAGACACATTCATTGGTTGGTTTTCTGCACTGTTACTATAATAGGCTCCAACTCTGCCTCTACCCAAATTATTTCATTCCTGCTTTAACATCTTCCATATGTCTTATACCTTTATATACCTTCAGAATGGCTATTCTTACATCTGCAGATTTTTCAACTACAAATATACTTTCTGAATTTGCATGACATTGTATTTCCAATTTAAAGATAAACAGATTCAGTTATTAATGTATTACTCATGACATATGCCTAAAGAACCAGAGGGGGGATCCTTTCCAAAATAGTAGGCCAAATATGCAGCATACATTTTCTCTATCCCTGCTGAGAACTGGCTGTCTCCATCTGGAAAAATCACATAAAACCATCACCCTGTGCCAAAGTTCACATGGCAACACTGATTAAGTAGCAAGGAGGTTATCTTGCTTAAATAACATTGGGTGCTATTTGTCCTTGCATGACGTTGATATCCAATGGGACAGTCACTTATTATTAGGTTTAAACATCATGTACGGAGTATAAAGAAAGTAGATTCTGACACTGTCTATACCCAGAAGATACAGGCTCCCTCTAACAATATGCTGCTATCAATTCCTTAATAATCAAAACATACATGTAATTGCTACTTTTTTGTTGTAATAATATAAAGTCTAATAAGTATACTGAGACTGTGACACTATATACATACTTGATTAAAAAAGAAAACCTGTAGCTAGGACCAAGTCATTACAGACGAATTGATCTAAAATTTTATGAGACTGAATCAAAACATTGTGAAATAGCAGCCATTCTGACAAACTTCCACAAGGGGGCAATAAGCTCACATTTGATTCCATTCTTGAGATTCCCATAGTTATACGACTCTGTTACAACACCAAACATACTGGCACCAAAATTTGCCTATCAGTCCTTGAATTTAAAGAAATGTCGCTTACAAGTTCTTTACAGAAAAGACATCAATCTTATTTTTCCCTTTTATGATCTTCCACTAAATTCAGTAAGTCACAAAAATGAATAAACCTCAAATTTTGTACAAAAGATGAGTCATGTGTGAAATAATATATCTCATGTCTAAAATACCACAACTGAGACAACCTATATTATCTAGTATTTAGTAATATCCACCCAAAAATATTTCTGAGGGCAATTTTTATTCAGAAGGTAAAATCAAGATGAGAAGTGATAATAAACAACAGAAAAGCACAACAGTACATTTATCTAGCCTGCTCACCATAATTTAAGAAAGTTCAAACATGTCTGCACCTAATTCTGGCCATGTTCTGCTTATTTGTGTTTAGTTTTAAGTGGAAATGTCTCTAAAGGCAGAAGTCAAATATACTTAGCTAAAATAATGGAGGCAGGATTTGGTGTTCTACTGACAACCCATCCCTATAAAATTTCCTGAAAGTTACTGCTCTGTCCTTCTTTAAATGACTGTGGTTAGGTTAGGAGCTTTCAGTTTTAGATTCTCTCATTTTTCATCTAAGCAAGCTGGAAGAAGAACTTAGCAGAGCGTTGTGACGAGAGGTGGCCATTTTAAGAAGAGAAATGGGGGGTACAAAGTCTTTTAGTTTACTATCACTCTCTCCTCTAATATACATTTGCTGTCAGAAATACTGACAAACTCAACTATCCTACTCCTAATGACAGCTTTGCTCTTGTGGAAAGCAGATATAACAATTTTACCGTTAAAAAGGATTTCAGGATTTCTTCTATGGAGCAAGAATACCAAGACCCTCCAATATTAAGCATGGATTCTATGTTTATGTAAATTGCTCTTTATTCCAGGAATGTACTTACAAATTTATTTCCAATAAGCAACAAAAAGTGGAGCTCTTTATGCCCCCAGTCTCTTTTCTCCGGTTACTCAGTCTCATATTCTGCTTTCTGCCTTTGTAACACATCTACTGTCAGGGCTTGACCAGCAACTCTACACAGGCAAACAAGCCAGCTTCTCCAGTCTTTTTCTCTGTCTTTTTTTCCTCTCTGTATGTGATACTGGGAATTGAACACAGTATACAAACTCTCTACCACCAACCTACGTCCCCAGTCCTTTTATTTTACTTTGAGGCAAGATCTGGCTAAGCTGCCCAGGCTGGCCTCAGTCTTGCAACCCTCTTGCCCCACTCTCCACAGTAGATGGGATTACAAGCATGTGCCACTACACCCAGATCTTCAGCCTTTCCCAGTAGCTCTCTTTTCTAGGTTAAAGATCTGCCAATCTAATACCCCTCATGGATGATTCCATCAAAGCCTGCTGGGGGCCCCACTTCCAGTTCTACTTCTTCAGTATCTACTCTCAGCGGCCATTGTTCCGGTTTTTTTTTCCTCACAAGGAACCAAATATACCTATCACATTCCACTACAGGAAGCTGGGCGGGATTTGCTCTCCGCAGGAGAATGGGAGCTCTCAGGACTTCTGTCTTAACTACCTTAATATGGCCAGTGGCTGGTGCACAATAAATGCAGTAACTGCTCCGAGATGAAAAAGCCACACCTTGAACTTGGTAACAGAAAAAGAAGTATTTTGAAGTTTTCCAAGAAAAACTTATCAAAACTAAAGTGCTGTGCCAAAAAGTAGAATAAACAAGAAGGAAAAGAGATGATTTAGTCTAAGCAGAATGCTGAGGAATGGTGCAGTAGGGTAGAAGGGTTACAAGACAAGTTAGAAGGAGCCACCTGTGTCACCTTCATCTACAGGACGTAGGAAGGGATGCAGTCCCTTCCCTAACACCAGCTAATGCCGCTGCCGGTGAAGGTCATGTGACAGGAAGCGAGGAAGGATGAACTCCACTCTTCTGAGATCTCTGAGAACACAGGGATCCTCATGCAAATTGTTAAGAGGCTGGTGAGGTTCCAGCTGAAAAATGGGTTGGAGCATGACAGCTCCCCACATCACTTGCATCCTTTTGCCAAGCTTCCATTTACTGAAATTTTTTTGATTCTGTAAAAATCTAAACACCCCCACCACCAAGAAGGAGTAGAGGCAGAACTGGAATGGAGGGGCTCAACATCCACAGACAGGAAACAAAGCTTCCCAAGCCATGCCTATCTGATTTGGATGAAACAGGAAAAATGTTGCAAGTATCCCTACAGGACATCGTATTATAATTCCAACAGCAGCTCCAATTTTAAGATCTCTGTTGTTTCAAAAGCACAAAAAAGAAAAACTCTGAACCAGCAATGATTTAATATTATTGCTTGACAGAAACTTCCACTACAGTGTGTTAAAAAACAAAGAAAATGCATTATTGAAAGGATGCACAGTACAAATAACTTTTAGAACACTTACTGAAGTCCATGGCACGTGGACAATGCAACGAACGAGGCCGGGTTTCCTCGGATCTGGCCCTGGTAGTAACAGTGCTCGCCTCCCTGAGAACAGAAATAGCACATAAGCCTTCAGCATCACAAGGAGAATCGGTGCCATCCTCTTACACTCACGCTGCACCACCAAATGTAAGGCTCTGTGTAGCATCTCATTACTCAGATCAGCACTATCAAGCCACTTCCAACAGAATTATTCATAAACATCCCTAGGGAGCAGACTCCTAATCAAAAGACAGGAAAATAGAAGCTGACTTCATTTTCTCTGTGTGTAGGTCTCACCAGAGGAGCAAAGCAACAGACACTGAAAAACACATCTGGCCCTTGTACCCAGAGTAAGTTTAGACATCTATCCCCTAGTTATGGGACATCCAACCTCGTGCGGCAGCAAAGCGATGCTTTCCTGTGGAGTTAAGGAAAAAAGGAATAGAAATCATTTAAGAATCACTAAATTATACTGATGGAGAAAAATACCTGTTTTTACATTGTTTATATCAAAACTTGACTATGAGATACACAGGCTTATTATTCTTATCCCAAAGCAGCTCAAAATGGCTTCCCTAGTAAGTTGTCCGTGTTTGAAACAATGAAGTTTCTCCTAGTAACCAGTTACATGAACTAAATTCTACTAAAAGAGTTTCTTTTGAGTAATTCTTGTCTTTAGAGTGAATAAGAGAAATGTAGACTCTCTGGCCCCAGATCTGTCCCATCAAAATCTTTATTTCAAGGCTCCTCCTACATGATTCATGCACACATTAAAGCTGAGAGGCTCTGCTCTAAATGACCTTCTCCCATCCTCCCACTGATCTATTTCTTCAGTTGCTGAAGGTTTCTAATTAAATTGACTCACTAAGGTACAAAAGAATGGCACAGGAAGGACTGGCTAGTTTAAGGAAGCAAAGGTTTATTTAGTCTGCTTTAAGGAGTAACCCTATTTAAAATATTCAATTCTATTGGAGAGAGGAGAGAACAGCAAGACAGAAAGATGACATGAAGATGTCATCTTTAAGAGATGTCTCTTTAAGAGATTAAAGAGATTAGAGAGAGGAGAGAACAGCAAGACAGAAAGATGACATGAAGATGTGGCAGTATTAAAGAGATTTTCTGCACCAAAATTTAAAGAAACTATAGCTGAGGTAATTGTGCAGGAGTTGGTGAATCTCTGCTTTCAAGAGAAAGTGGATCACGGGTATAATGGTACACAATTGCACCCCTGCAGATGTCCAGAGGAGTCACTGGGAGTCATGAACTGAGGACTATGGTTGGATTTTATGGAGCAGATAGAATGTTATTCACATCTGATAGATCAAGGGATGAAACCCAGAAGGTATTACAGGGGCAGATGCAAGTCTTGGATACAAAGACACAGCCACTGGCTGACTTCCTGAGGAGAAATGGCATTAGCATGAGCTATGGGCTCCTTCATCTATAGTCTTAAGCAAGTTACAGAAACTACTTGCGTCTCGGTTTCCTCATCTGTTAAATGGTGATGATTATCTCATATGTTTTTTATGAGGATTAAATGAGTTAGTGGACACAAATTGTTTAGAAAAATGCTTGGCTCTTGGTAAGCACTTAATAAATATTCCCTGCCATTATAATTACTGTGGGTCAACTATTGTTCTACTCAACTTACATAGCAGAATCACATTTAATGCTCACATCAATCCTACAGTGAATATTATTGTCTGTATTCCACATGGAAAACGACAATCTCTGGGAACCACAGTTGCACATCTGGGAAGTTGCCAAGGAGGTAAATTTTGGGTGGGCCCAATGCCTGTTGCACTTTCTCTGCTTACAAGTGAGATCCAGAATCTATGGGCTACGTAATGCAAATCCAAGAAGCCTTCCCCTTGACTGGTTTATTTTACTTTTTTCTCCTCCATTCTTTTACTAGGGCTAAGGGTAAATTTTTAAAAGTTTAAATATCCTCTGTTGGGCTATTAGGGTGGTGAACTGACCATAAGATTAGATTTTAAGTGCATGAAAGGAAATTATAACTAATGTGACCCTGATTTCGTGAACACATCTAGCTGAACCAGAATTCCACTCTCTAACTTTGTACTGGCCAGAGAAAAAGGTCCATGGTGGTTGGATTGTTTGAAAAATGTTTCCCAGTCAACAGTTCTTTCTAGATTTTCATTTTTCCTATTTATTATTTCCCTTCCTAGGAGTTATGTCATTTTAAATTGCTTGGATAATTACCTTTTAGGGATATCCATTAGTATCCATTTTCCTTTCTGTTATCTTCTGACATGTTAAAACATGTTTATCTTATTACTGAGCCGTACTTGATTCTTGAATCTGAAGGAATTTGGTTTCTCCATACAAGCAGAATTAATAGGCTTTTATATTTTCATTTAGATACTTTTAAAGATGATCACAGATGATCAACTTTTTAGTTTTGTAATTTATTGCACTGGCAGTGGGAAAAGTAGTGTCGTTACTTTTTTCCCATGTCAATAATATTAACTTGTTTTAATTTTTTTAAAAAAAGTATGTCCCTAGACCAGACTTTCTAAGAAGTTTAAGACTTGTCCTGAATAGTTACATATAAATAGAAGAAAACAGAAGTAGAAACAAAGAAAAAATTGAAAAACATTATGGTATCAGGTTAAAAAATGATGGAAGTCAGCACTCCTTGTCATATGGGCAGGTATGTTGGTGGCAAAACCTACAAGACATGTTTTATTAAATTACTAAAGCTTTATTTCAAGTACCAACTCTGGAAATATGTCATAGTACATCATAAAAAGGACAAAGAATTCATTGGATTAGATAATGGGAAACAATCTCTCATTGATTTTTTTGATGCAAAAAATAGAAGTCAATCCAAAAACAGCACGTGACTAGGATCCATCTGCACAAAAACCTAACACAGCAAATGCCAAGCTCTATGTGGTTGAATCGTTATTGAATGTTTCCACGACACTCCAGAAAAAGCATAAACATTGAGGAATATCTCCTCAGTTCAGCTACTGTAACTCAAAATTTGAAGCTCTCCACTAGTGGTATACGCAGTTCTTCTAAATAATGGTAAAAATCCATTTTGTGTTATATTTTCAGACATTATTCACCACAAACCAATAGCTTAAATTAAGAAGTAATGAAGGATTTTCCTTTAACATGTCTGGAAATACTTTTTAGTTGAGGATAGAGGTTTTAATATTAATGGGCTTCCTTAACTTATGTAACTGTTATTAAATTATTAAAATAAATCACTTAATAACTCTTATTCTTTAAATACTTACTTTATTTTTTATAATACAAGAGATTGAACCCCGGGCCTCAAGTATGCTAGGCAAGTCCTCTACCACTGAGCCCCTATTAGTTTAAATGACACACACTTTTGGCCAAAACTTTAAGAATTTATAGAATGTACATGTAAAGTATTCCCCTTGTATATACTATTCCAGCCACAGTTATCTTCTAAAAGGTAGGCATTTTTGTCAGATTTTATGTAACATATCAGGAGTAGATTATGCATATATAAGATATATATGGAGAGGTATAGATACATAAATACACAAATATCCCTTATATATTTCAATAAAGCCTACTGACAAGCCAACTTTCTCAAATACTATCAATTATGAAGTTTCTCCATGTCTAATCAGAAGCTTAATGAAAGTAGGTATTATACATAATAATCTAAGACAGATGCAGGAAAAGGCAGTACATTCTAATAGAGTTGGGTTCTCTATCCGACTGCCAGTCACAGCTTTATTTCTTATCATCTCTTCTATTCCAGAAATAAATCCATTGTCCTTGAAACTTTCTTCACATTCCTTGATATTCTAACACAGTTGGAACAGTACAGATGTTTATTTTTAGCTAAATAGACAGTTTTAGTTCAAAGAAGATCCATCTCTATAAAACACTATACAATAGCTCAAGTGACTACTGGTTTATCCTCTGTGTGGGGGTGTGTGTGTGTGTGTGTGTGTGTGTGTGTGTGTGTGTGTCGGGGGCGGGGGGTGCTTACAGCAATTTTCATTTTAGGCAAGTCAAATTAACCATTTCTTTGCAATATTCAAGGACAGACCATACTTTCATTAGACAATGAGCAAGACCTCCAAAGGGGAAAAAAAACCAGAATTTATTACAAATAAAATGAAATAATAATACAAAGGAAGTTACAAAGTCTGGGTTATAAAACCATAAAAACCCAATAAAGACCAACTGGAGAACAGCATACAAGAATCATCTGCCCTCCTTCCGGGTCCTACGAGGAAACTTGATAACTTTTTTAGCTCCAAGATGGGCCAGGGCACCTCCTCCCAAGAGCCTTCTCAGATTCTCTCCTGCTCACAGATTAGATTACTTCCCTCCTCCGCTAGATTTCCACTCTATAAAACCTGTACTTCATCTTCTTCTACCTACATTCCTGTTTCTGTAAGTAGACTTCATCTCTTCCCTCCCTTGAGGGAAGTATATATACCCAATCTGTTCCCACTCCCAGCTGCACTTTCTGAGGGAGACATTTGAATCTTAGGTTCCTCATCAATAAAAGGGAATAATCTCTACCTACACAGTCTCACCAGCAAATGCAGGGAACCCTATGGGACAACAAAATTAAACACAATGTACACTGCCATTGTATAGATGTCGGGCACAATTGGGCAGTATTTCCTACATAAGGGATTAGCATCCCTTGAGTCTAAGGGATTAGTGTGCTGTAAGCTATGATTCTCATGGTAAGACTAACAGTGCAGGGCACTTGTTATGGTTTGTGTCTCATGTCCCCCCAAATCCTCATGCAGTCATGGGGCGGGCTTTTTAGAGTTTTGACTGATTGGGTGTGAGAGCTACACCACCCCAGGTTGAGTAGTTTGCGTACAATGTAAGGGAGGGAAAGAGGCTGCTTGCCGCCATTCCTCCCTTTTGGGCTTATTGCTTTGCTGTGTTCCACAGCCATGAACGTTTGCCCTCTGCCATGTGCCACTCTGCCTTAGAACCAGCCGAGTATGGACTGAACCCTCCATAAACTGTACACAAAATAAACGTTTCCTTCCTTAATTTTGGGCACTGGGTATTTTGTCTCA